ATTACATGAAAACGGAAAAATCATGGCCCTTCTCATTACTCACGTCAGATTGAGCAGTTTTTATGTCATTTTAATCTATTTAAAGCTCCAGAAATCAGATAATAATCAGATTTTGATGTGCAAGTGAACTTTCGCCAGTGAAAGTTCAGTCTTCTTGTCCTGGTCTAATTACAAAAGTGTCAGAGGTGCTGATTATGTCTTTGTATTGAACTTAATCACTTCTAATGTCCATCCGAAGCCTTTATCAGCAGTATCTTTGGTCGCGGACACTAATCAAGCCCTTGGTACTTCAGGTGTACCTCTTTTAAAGGCCCTCTCGTCTATTGTTTCATTAGGAGTGTTTGCTGAGCCGTGTGATCTAGGACAGGACTAGAGAGAGAGAGAGACGATTAATAACTCAGAGGAGGATGGAGCTGTCTACAGGGCCAACTTCAAGATCTGTGCCACTTCTCGGACAAAAAAAGGAAAAAGGAGGAACCCAGGCTGCGGCAGACTGACAAATAAGGTCAAAAAGATGTGTGCAACTGTGTGTGTGTGCTGTTGGGGCATTTGGGAATATCTGGACTGACAATGTTAAAAGTTTTTCTCAGGTTTGAAAAGTAAAAATTCACTACAAATCAGTATCTCAACCATCTTCATACATTTTTCAAGATATCAGCCTCGACTGGTCTGACGGGCGCCTGTCATGTGAGTTTATAGTCTACAATCCACAAAGCGCTTTGTATTACTGTTATTAGTTTACTAGTTTATTTCAGTGTTGTAGACATAAAACACAAAACCAGGTCTATATCATTATCAAACAAAGACAAAACAAGGACTAAATATACTATCAGACCTTTAGATATCTACAGGTATGTCATATTTACATCACAGAAATATTGGTTTTCTAAAAGCATTTACAGGTGCTTATAAAATTCTCCCCAGCAAATCTGTCTCTAAACTTTATAAAGGGCTGCAAAAACAAAAGGGAAACAACACATTTTATGTTAAATCTAAATGGGAAGAGGAGCTGAATATTGTTTTATCAGAGGGTGATTGGCTTTTGATGTGCAGCACACTACAAACAACAAAAGGTGGCGGGAATTTGGGTGGATTCTTTATTACTCCTCAAATGACTGAGTTCAAGGGTTTGATTGTCATTGTTGGAGACAGTGTGGACGCTCAAACGCCAATCACTCTCATAGTTTTAGACATGTACAAACTTAAAATCATTCTGGGACAATGTGTTTGTAAAAACAGAAACAATCTTGACTTATGTTGTCCCCAAGGACCCAAAGATATTTTGTTAGGCCTTCTGCCTGTAGAGGTGATCAAAAAAGTGTACAGATACCTTTTTAAGATTCTGACATTGGCATCAAAAAAAACAATAACGCTGGCTTAAAAAGGACCCACCGTCAGTGAATCAGTGGCTAGACATTATAGAAGAATTATATTCCATGGAACGACTGACTTTTTCTGTGACTCAAAGGACATTTGTTCATTAAATGCTGGACAAAATGGTTGAAATACAAACAAAAAGAGACTTGATTCACCCTTCAACATCCTTGTTGCAGTGGAACAGCACCCCCAGCTTTGTATTGGTTGTATTTTGTTTGTTTGTTTGTTTGTTTGTTTGTTCTTTATTACACAAAACAAAAAACTGAATAAATAAATAAATAAATAAATATATATATATATATATATATATATATATATATATATATATATATATATATATATATATATATATGCAGCTGCCTCTTTATAAACCTTTATGAGTTTATAAACTTTTATGAGTTTATAAGGGACCGATGCATTTCTGGGTCCCTGTGTAAGCCGCTCTGTTCTCTATGACCAGGTATAATTCTAATATTTTAGCCCTTATTCATGAAAATATCCAGATTCCTAAATCATTGATCTTTTTAGTGTCTCTATCTGACTACGAGCCCGGCACCGGTTCACTGTCGCAACACACTGAGCTTCACAGCGCATTCTCGTGCGCCCTAGTCTTTGCCAACAGGTAATGAATGTCTCCTGCTCCTGTCCATTCACAAAAATGTCCAAACTGTCACACAATTCAGTTTTTCGTAGTTTCTCTGCTTGGCCATATCATTGCGCCTCGAGCCAAATGCGCGTGACCGCGCGCTTCCACCTGCAGGGTCAGGTAATGCCCCGTAACCTCTTCATTCATAAAGTTCCAAATTCTTACGCATCTGTCCCTTGTAGCCGCGCTGCTCGGCTGCACTCGCAGTACCAGGACCTTTACGCACAGTGGTGCGCCTTCAACAAGAGGATTCTGCCACTTCGACCAAAGGATAAAGAAATGTCGGAGAGCAGGGACGTTTGATAAAAAATGGAAATGGCGCTACTCTGACAATAACACATCAATATCGGAGTGATGGTATGTCGGATCGGCAACTGTAAAGTTATGTTAGCTAGTAGCCACTCACCTTCATAGTTGTAGGTGAAATTTTCAAAAAATAAACTGTCCGTTGTCCACTTTGGAGTGGGCTGTGATTCAATGTTAATCAATGAGACGATGTATGTCGGAAAAGGATATTTTCAGTAAATTTATAAGGGACGTAGTTTATGTAAACAACTTTGGTTCGTCCATCGTGAGTTCAATCAACAGAGTGACAATTCACCGGAAGTAGGCGTGCACAAAGGTCACTGAATGCGGAAGTACTACGTATCAGCGTGATAATAGTCTATTGTTTACAACCGCAGTGGTGAGCAACACTGAGATTATATTCTTTTTACGGACAATCGGTTTGAGTCTGGATTAAAAGGACTTTTATTAGTGCAGACTTGTGATGTGAGGAGGAGCCTGTGTGAGCCGTGAGTGTTGGAAATATATCGACTTTGAAGCTAGTTTTGGCTATTTGTTATTAGTGATTAGCTGCTGTAGCTCTCGCACATAAACAGGCTATTTTCTATTGGCCTATTGTAAAGTGACTATATTGGCTGTATATTTGCTACTGGATCAGCACTGATATGTAAATGAGCTGTGAATAGATGTGTGAATGATCCACATTTATGCATATAATTAATTACCGCGGTGCGCACGTTTTTACGGCTAAAGGCTAATAGCGGTAGTTTCTTTACTAGCTAGGAGTTATGGGTCGGTCGCGATCGAAGCGGCTCTTAGAGCCGGCTCTTTGAAGCGAACAACGGGAGCATGTTTCTTATTGGGAGCCGTGTTTTCTCTTTTTCTCACTTTTTCTCTTCAAGCCGCTTGTAGATCCGTAGTTTGACAGCAGCAGCGGCTGAAAAGAAAAGTGCATATTTGGCTGCAGTTCAGCATAAAATGAATAAACCAGGACTAATCTTGGGCTCGAGTGAGGGAAAAACCAAGTCCCGACACTCAGTCCTGGTTCAGTTCTGGTTTAGTCCTGTTTTACACATGGTTTAAATCTGTTTTAGTCCTGGTTTAGTCCTTTTTCAGTCTTGGTTCAGTTTTGGTTTAGTTCTGCTTGCAACAAAACAATCTCAAGAGTCGCTTGGGAGCCGAAAGAGCCAGCAGCTTTAGTGAGCTGAGCCAAAAGAGCCGGTTCTCCAAAAAAAAAAAAAAACTGGAATACCTATCACTAGTAGCTAAAATGTGATGCAAAAATGCCATTAGGCCAATCTACTGTATGTAAATATGACGTAAAGAGTCAGAATAACAATAAATGTTGCCTAAATAAACCCAATTTAGAATCCACTAGAGCCAAACCTAAGTTTTTTTAACAATTCAAGATTTACAGTGAATTTTTACCTCACTAAATATATCTGCGATTATATCGGCTATCGGCAGCTCCTACTCCCATTATATCGGTTTCATATTGGCCACAACAAAATCCATATCGGTCGGGCTCTTTTTACCCCAAAAACTGTATTCAGTAAAATGATTCAGTAAAGTTTTATATAAACCTGTGGGAAATACTGAGAACATTTATTTATAGTATTTTGTTACTTTTCAGAGGTGGCCACACCAGACCGGTGGAGTGGACAGTGGGGATGACGTGTCCTACTCCAGGTCTAGACGAGAACACAATAACAAACTCAGCACAAAAACAACCGGTAACCCTCTGGTTCCCTTGTGAACCCTTAACCACTGCACCACAAGCACCCCCACAACTATATTTACACACATACTGTGTGTAAATATATTTTTTACCACAAGACCATTAATAATTCACATCTAAAACAGGACTACACCTGAGCAGAGTCACAACAAAATCACACACACAAGCCAATGAAAAAGTACCAAAAAACTCAAATTAGGAATGAAACAAGTTCATCTATTAATCAAAAACAAATAAATACTGACATAATTGTTAATTTAGTAATGGTAACATTTTTTGGATTACACACAGACTCCAAAACATGCCAAGAGCTGAAAGAAGAGGTTTTTGTAACTCAGATAAAGCAAAAGTTAAATCAAAATTACTCATGAAACACGTACCTGTAGTGTTTTTAATGAAAAAAACAATTTTGCTTGTCACAATTTGAGCAAGTATCTTATATTCACGGGCCAAAGAACCAATCAAAAGAATAAAAGCTACATTAAAGGTCTTTTATTACACAAAAGTGATTCTTATGAGCTTTAAGCCATGTTATAATGTTGTTACCTCCTGAAAATCAAAGCTGGAGTTATGTTTTGTTTCATTCACACATGTTTAAGTAATCCTTTCTTATTAGTCAGCCTGCATCTCAAAAACTCAAAATGCTTATCATGTAGAGGTAGTTTTCAAGTTAAATGCTACCTTTTACCTTTTGTGCAGGAGAAATTGGGCAACTCCAGGTATTCTGATAAGGAAACAACATTATATCATAGATCAGAAAAATAGTGTGATATGGTCCCTTTAATCAATTAGTAAATAATTACTTGCAGCCTTAACTCAAATAAACTAAAACTTAAAGACTGATTCACCTTGTATTCATTTCAGACAGACAAACAGCATTGCAACTTATCAGTAGTCAGTTACAGTAGCATTCCCATTGAAATACATTGCACAATCCAGGAGTGTGTACCTCACCTTTGGCAAACACGGTGGTTCTTGGAGTGACGTCGAGATCCAGGGAGGAGCTGAAGGGGAAGGCCCACAGCTGTGACCTAGCAACCACCAGAACCAGGCAGATCAGTGGAGACAGGAGATCTGGTCCCATGGCGACCGCGGAGCTCCACATAAAAGGCTGTTGCTCTGTTTAGTTTGACAGACGCATAAAATTCAAGCTAAAAGTGTTTCTGTCTCCAAATGAAGTCACAGAGGCAGCTCCGGCAGTTTGTGATTATCCTCCAGCAAAGAACAAGCTGTGCAGAAAGACAAAAATAATAAGGTTAGAAATTTGGATTTAGAAGACGTTATTAAAATATCTCCTACCGTGACACATTGAATCAGCTGTTTTTGTTTTTTTTTTTGTTCATTTTGGCTTGCATCAGTTCAACCATCGACTTGAGCTTCTTTTTCCTCAATGATCGATATCCTTTCTCAGTCCCTCAGTGCAAAATGGCATTCGAAAGTAGTTAGCTTTGACTCAATGACAATTTCTCCTTTGGTTTTAAACACTAGAGACAGCGCTTTAATCTACATGCTAACAACAATAAATTACACTGCACTTAGAAGTAACCTTTAGGTGAAGTTTTAAACTGGATGAATGCCCTTCCTTATCAGCCTTTTTAACAGAGAAGCAGTGGAGTAAGTCAGGCCATAGCTGTTAACATATTCAAAAAGTAATAGTTTTATTATTAGGCCTGTTTCGATAATTCAATACGTGACAGATGGAGCAGTAATGTTTCGAGGTAAATATTAATCATGTTACTTTTTTTTTGCACAAGTGGGAAATGTTGGGTTACTTTTCTGTACTATGATGAGATTTGAGCTGTAAAGGGTTGAATTATGAACTTCTATGACTCATTACAGAAACAAACTAAGTATTTAAGTGTTGATTTCTATTATTTATTTATTACAGTTCATGTTTTAAACAATATTGTACATTTTGATGGTTAAGCACATATAACGCACTTTTTTGTCTCAGCTTTCCATTTCCAGTTTGAGGCTTTTTCCCACTGAAAAGAAGGTATATTTTGTTTCTAATTGTTAATCACTGTTAGCCAGGCTGGCGTCCACTCAATTTCATTTCTCTCCAGCGACTAGATCAGGAATCAGAATACACTAGACAGTTTGCAAGAACCCCGGAAGTGCGAGTTCGGGCACCAGCCAATCAGCGAAGAGCCATACATTCTGTGTCGTCAACGATTCCCAAGGATTTAAAGCTGGAACAAAGAGAATGAGAAAGATGAAAGACGTTATTGCCCTTCTTCCTACAGGATTTGGGAAAAGCTTAATATACCAGTTAGCCCCGTTAGCAGCGCATTACATACGTCACGACCAAATAGCAGCAATTGGTTAAATAAAAAAGTACCCGCCTATGGTCGAACAAACGAATTCTAATGCTGTGAGGTCAGACCAAGCCCCCAGGTTCCAAAATGACCGACCATTCAAGTCAATGGGCCAAGCTCAGTGGCGCATGATCCCAGATTAGCCTAGCCCGGCTAGGTACTTCCGGTGGCTGTGGGCCGACCGAGCATGCGTAGTAGTGCTCTTTTCTCCCGCGGGCACACACGAATGCATGCATGGTGCACGGGTTCGTGTATCACGTGATCGCTTTGACCAGTCAGAGTGAGAGGAGCTAGAGCGGAGCAGAGTGTAGCCCAGGGGTGGGCAAACTTTCATTCAGATTCATTACATTCTTATTCACATTAACCTAGGACTTCACACGCGGGCTACACGTATCATCACTGCTGTGAAAGATTCAGAACACATAAAACTGTTGAGACCTGTTCCACTTCACACCACGAGTGAATGTAATGTGAGTTCACCGTTTTCGAATATGACTGGTAACAGCTCAAAAACAAAGCTCACACCATACAACCACAAATATACACCTGTGAGTGTGGTAAAACCTGACCCCAAAATGTTGTACACCTTAATGATAACAACTCAGAGTCCATAGGTTTCCTTGATTGATTTTTACCAAGTCAAAATGGAAGCAGTACAGTCTTATATCTTAAGCACCAACTACTTCACTCATGGTCCGAATAACTCCTGTAAGAACACTTTTCCATAAAGCATTGCGGCCAACATAATACGCCGCAACTCAATGTATTTATAGTGCGCATCTACTGGGAAACGCTGGAAATGCATGACAAATAAAACATCAACAAGGTTTATTATTGAAATTTATTCCAGTTCGGCGGGCCGGATTAAAAGGTTTAAAGGGCCGCATATGGCCCCCGGGCCGTAGTTTGCCCACCCCTGGTGTAGCCGAAGCTAATGATTATAAAGCATTTGTTAAGACAACTGAAGGATTTTGAGCTGAGAAAAAGCGCATGATCTAAAAATAGGTAAAAATCGCCACAAAATCCGACATTTTTGAAAGTTGTAGGTGCCCTGTCAGCCCAACACGAGCAGTTTGGGATTACATCTATGAAAAAAATCTTCTCTCGGCCCATGGGATTTTTTCCGCTGTAGTACCAGTGAGTGTCCACGACGTCAACTCGAGGCAGCTACAAGCTAGCAATACTGTATCCAGTTATTTTAATAGATCCATGGGTCAGACGGTTTCCACAAAGTGAAACCAGCTGATGAATCAGGCTAAATCACTATAGCAGCAGTCCTAATTTCTCATCATTCTGAAACCCATGGTTTGGATTGTATGATGTGCACTTAGTTCTATAATATATTCTTCCAAAATGTATTCTACTGGATTGTCCTAAAGGTCTCGTATACAGACAGGTAATGGAAATATGCATATATACAGTTTACAATGCATCTTATTAGTCCCATGTAATTGCCAGGAACATCTTGCACAAATACATAATTCATTTCACAATTCATTTCACATATTGCCTGTATGAATCTGTTCATGAGAATCGCTGCCCTACAGTTATATAGCTACAGATGAGCATCACCACTGCAGCTGGTGTGAATAATGGTACTGAAGGAATCTGAGAATCAGGAAAGGCAAAAATATTTTTAAAAATATTTATCTTGGCTTGGGACTGGAATAAACACTATAGTCATTCATCTCATTGTACTTTGATAATTGTTTGCAAGGATAATGTCCATGTGTTGATATGCTGTCAAAACATAGACTGTATAAAGAAGTGGATTCAGGGAGTGTGATGTCGCCCATAACGTTCAGCTCCAGTCAAATGAAGCTCATCAAGGCTTGTAGTTATGGGGGTGAATTTGGAGGGATATGAATTTATTAACAGAAAAAATAGCAAAATAAAAACCCCAGTATCATGTAGAGTGGGTTAATAAAAACATTTTAAGATGAAAATAACGAGTCTCACTGCAGCAGGCACAGAGAGAGGGGTGACAATTTTTCATTGTAAAGTCAACTGGAGCCAGAGTCAATGGAGCTGTAAGCGCACCCATGAACAGCTCCAATTTGGAACACGGTGGCTAGCAGCTTTGCTATGTCCAGTTATTTTATACAGTAGGGATGGGTATCATTAAGAAGCTGCCAATATGATACATACCTTGATAAATTGGCCATGATACAATACATATCTCGATACGGTGCACTTTCAATTTGATACGATTAGATATAATATATTTTAAATCGATTCCATACGGTTCAATAAAAAATAAAGCCTAAATGATGGCTGTGATACTAAAAGTCTTTATTAAACCACTTCTTGTGCAAAGTTCATAAGAAACACAAACATTTTAATCATCAAAACAGTGAAAATGTCAAATGTGTCGCATAAACGAGTTTCCTTCCTCTGAACAAGCAACAAAACTGTAGCTCTGTAACAAAATAATTTAGTAAACTATACCAAAAAATACTCTTGGCGATATATCGATACAGCAGCCCATGATATCAATCCCGAAGATGTTGAAGATGTTGTTACTCTGCCTGGAATGCTCCACAGTTTGGAGATAAGATGGTATCTCCTCTCGCCCATGTTACAGGTCAAATCACTGAAGAGGCAAACCTGGTCGAAACATCTGTACTTGAATAAATGGCATGATAGATAAGTTTAATGTCATACTGTAAAAGATTCCATGAAAAGAAATAACATCTCCATGGAAACACGCAGGCGGTAGACCCTTCATTAGAAAAGTTGCAATAATTAACCTTTAAATTAGCTTTTGAGTAATCACCATATTTCTGTGATATAAAACTGCAACATTCAGCCTCTTAGCTTTCTCCATAAAAAGTCCCCTAATGACTCTAATTATTGAGCCGCTTGTTTATTCTTTCACAGAAGCACAAACAGCTTCATTTCTGTGTTAAATTTCTTGCTGACCGACCTAATTACTTGCTGATGCTCATGATCGCACATTATAACATCCAATTAGTTAAAATTTTATACATTTTGACTACGCTAGATGAAAGGAAGCATTAAAAAAAAAAACATTGTGGCTATCAAGCGTTGTAACCTTGTAATCTTTCAACACTGCACTTTGGTTAGCCAGACTGCACTTTGGTTAGCCAGACTGGCGCCACCTAGTGCCTCCACTCAATTTAATTTCTCTCCAGTGACTAGGTCAGGAATCCGAATACACTAGATGGTTTGCAAGTTATAGACTGCATACCATCAGCCAATCAGCGACGAGCTATGAAGCCATGACGTCAAACTCAAGCATCTGTCAGGTCCCTTTTGTGGTACAGCACAACAGTAAACAAAGCAGTCGAGATGGATGTAGATGAAGTCATACATTCTGTGCTGACAACAATTCCCAAGATCGAGGATTTAAATGCCGGAACAAAGAGAATGTTTGATGAATTTTATCAAGGGGAAAGACGTTATTGCCCTTCTTCCTATGAGATTTGGCGCAATACATACCTCACGACCAAATAGCAGCGATTGGTTAAATTTTAAAAAAAGCACCCACCAACAGTCGAGCAAACTAATCCTAATGCTGCGAGGTCACAAAGTGAAACCAGCTGATGAATCAGGCTACTTAAAGGTCCTATATTACACAAAACTCTGACTCTGCTTTAAGTCATATTATGATGTAGTGTCCTCATCACAAACATATCTGGAGTTGTGTTTCTTTTCATATACATGTATTTGACTAATCCAACGCTCAAAATGCTCTATTCCACCTTGTGATGTCATCGAGGGTTTTTTTTCAAGGTAACAGCTCCTTTTCCCTTTAGGGCAGTAGAGATTGGCAATTCTAGGGCTGAAATCATTCATATGATTTTAATGAAGGTGTATGGACTTTTAAAACACAGTGGAGCACTCTCTGTATTACCACATGACATCATATGGTGGTACAGAGTATTGAG